CTAAACGAGGGAAAGATCAATTGTGTGAAATAAGTTTCAGGTGGTGCTTGTTCCCCTTTTATTTTCCAACGTTTCCCCTCATGAGCCTCACCATTTTTTCAGTGCATTATTTCTATTCCCTTTTCGTCTTCTCTGAGTTGGTCAGACAAGGGTCTCCACAGTGATCATCCCATTCATTTTGGTTCTCTCTCTCTCTCACCAACTTCCCATTTAAACCCTCTCTTTCTCTCTCTTCACCCCAGATTGAGACTGTTCATTTTTGGACTTTGTACACGTTTCACGTCAATCCCCCATCACCCATATTTGTAGAAACACCCAGTTTCCATTCTCTCATCTTTTTCTCATTTGGTATGCACAACACTTGAATCCCCTATAATTAATTGAGTGTAGATCGCCAGAATCCCTCGAGATTTAGTGGAATCCTAGTGAATTAATTCCAACTCATAGTTTCAGATATGCTCATAAATCACAATGTTATGATGAAATCTAAGACACGCACCTAGGTTGCTTTTTGAGTTTATTGTAGGTATGTAATAAAACATGCACTAAGTAATGATGGTCGTGGTTTTGGCAAGTATAGAAGAATCTCGAAGACATCGGACACGTGGAGGCGTTACACAACCCCCAAAATCTGAAACTCAAACGCGCTTTTAATTCGTATCCAAGCCACCAACCATTTCATAGTACACGTATAAATGGAAAGCAAAGTAACCCCATTCACAACACTAGAGAGACATAGATATGGAACAAGAAGGAGAAAGGAGAGAGGAGAATAGACAACAAGTCCAACGTGCAGCACAACAACAACAACAACCACCGCAGCAGCAGCAGAAATGTCCACGCTGTGATTCCATGAACACCAAGTTCTGCTACTTCAACAACTACAGCCTCTCACAACCTCGTCACTTCTGCAAAACATGTAAAAGGTATTGGACACACGGTGGAACCTTCAGGAACATACCCGTAGGTGGTGGTTCCCGCAAGGGGAAACGTGCCAGAACTTCTGCGTTTTCCAACGCACTCTCCCTCACGCAAGCACAGCCAAATTTGCTGAGGCCTTCACCTTCTCCACCCACCATGCTTCATTCAGCTAGCTCCTTTTACCAACTTGCTGGTGCTGGTGTTGGTGTTGGTGTTGGCGTTGGTGGAAGTGGGTTTTTGTCTTCTCTGGCAACGCTTCACTCTCTCAACTCTTCACGTCCTTTCAATCATCACTATCTCAAAGTTGGGGTTGCTGGGGATGTTGCCGGTTCTTCTTCTAACTCTTCTCTTCTCTCTGGCTTCAACGCTGCTTCCAATTCCCTTCCACCGCGGTTCCACCACATGGGTAGGGTGGAATCTCTCTATCCTACACAACAACGTTTGGTTATTCCATCGAACGTGGGGGCTAGTGCCACTGGCTCTCACACTACTCAACTTCCACAAAGCTTGATCGTGAGTAATAATAATGCTACCAATGCCTCTTTGTGGAGCACTACTACTATCACCGCCAACGGTAATAACTCTGATCAGAACAATGTCAAAGCTGGTGGTTCTTCTTTGATCCCAAATCATTGGCTTCATCTCCCTGGGTATGCTCCTCCTCAATAATTCTATATCCTTGGAGTTGGAATTTAGAGGGTAATTTGTTTCGTCTTTCTTTGTTTTTCCTTCTAGTATATCATAATAAGGTTGCGGGATATGTATTTGATTCATTATCTGGTTGGTTGTGAAAACATTGGACGGAAGAGGATTTTATTGTTATGGGGTGAAGTTTCCTTTGTCTTGTTCAACGGAAGTGGAACTGCTAATTAAGGTGGCTTATATGGTGAAGATAAACGAGGTGAAAATCTTCGTCTAAAACTTGATGGAAGACCTGGTTCCCCATGAATTGTGCATGTGGGGGTTACTAAATCCCTTCTCAATTTCTTTTTAGCTCCAGAATCTAAATGCTTGGTCCCTTATTTTTTTATTTATTTTGCAACATAATTGTGTGCTGCTTAATGTTGTGATTACGCTTCCAAGTGTACTTTCACAACTGAATGTCAATTTTTTCCCTTGAGTTATATTATTTGAATAATATTCTTTTATTTCTATTCATTAATGAGATCATTTCTGCTTTGCATATATTGGTCACAAGAATGTTAACTCAAATGATTATGTAGTTATACTTCTTAGGTAGGAACTGAGATTTGATTTTTAGTTTGAGTGTAAAATTACCACAAAAATATCACTTTATTCTCATTAGGACTGAGGAGTTATATATACCTCATATTTAAAAAAAAAAAAATCACTAACATTATCCATTCAAAATATTTTTAAAAGTTATTTTTTTTATAAGAATTGTTTTTTTTAGAATTTTCTTACTAAAAGTGTTTTTAGTTATAAAATTTTGAATTTTTTTCCCAATTTATCCTTCACATCTTTATTTGTAAATTGAACTTTAATATTATTTTTAAAAATTATTAAAGTTAAAGGAAACTTTATATAATAATATAAATTCTTTTATCATAAATTTTAAATATAATTCATATGTTAAAAAAACTTGAATAGTTTTTTATCTTTGTTTGTACTTAGAGTTAGAGATATGGATTCAAGCCAATACTTAGAATTACAGTTGTCAATTTGAGCTAGTTTGACCCATTCAAGCTGAATTGTGATTAAGTCGAATTTGGACAAACCAATTTAATGTCACGATGAAATTTTCATAACCCAGCCCAATTCTTAGCGATTCATATGTCAAACAACTTTGTCCATGGGACAATAATATATTTTTAAAAGTTATTGAAATAAATTTTTATATAACAAGTTAATAAAATATTTTTAATCATTCTAGACTAAAATAAAAAATATATAAACTGTTATTTGTACTATAAAATGATATTTTCTTTCATTTTATGACAATTATTATATATGTGTTTGTCAAATTTTTTACTTAAATAATATTACTATAAACTGCATAATGTATTTCTGATAATAAAAAGATTTAAAAATAATATATCTTTCATAATTTTTCTCATAAAAATTTAAAATAATGAAAAATCACAGTGTAATAATGGATATGGATATAGAATGACAAAAGAAAGGAGAAAGAAAATAGAGCAAACAATAATTATCACCACACTTTTAGATCAACTGACATAAAGTTAATTCTTTCTTGTAATTTTTCTTTTTATCTTATAAAATATACCACTAAATAAAAATAGATTATCATTAAATAGATACACTTAATTACTTTAAAATGTATTAAAATATTTACTATTATATACAAATTTTTAAAATAACAAAAAAGGAAAGTACTAGTAAAATCTATTAAATATAACTAAATTATCATTTATGTATGATCTCAATCAATCTCTATATAACATTGTCAATTTTTAAAATTTACATAAATAGTTTATTGCACTTGATTAGATTATGTGACATGTAGGGATCATTAAGAACAACTCTTCTGACATAGATTTATTTAAAATTACAAATAATCATAAGTTACTCTTCATATTTATTAATTTTATATTAATTTTATAATTTTTAATAAATTTTAGTATATTCGTAAATTTGATTTTAAATAAAATTGAATATGTAAAATTGTTTTTGATTGAAATTATTTTTGAAGTGATAGATTTACAATTAAATGTTTTTATTCAAAAAAACAAGTTAATAGTAAAAGTTGTATAAAATAACAATAATTGATATTTTGATGTGATTTTGAATGAGTTAGGCTTAATTTACTTTCGGTCTCTAGTAGTTTTATAAAAGTACCATTTTAGTTTCTTAAATTTTTTTGTTACAAATTTAGTCTCTCAAATTTTTAAAATTAAACAATATTAGTCTACCATTAAAATGTCATTCGAACTAAAAAAAAATGTTTCTATTCGTAAGTTACACCACTTAGCTGTTACTTAATTAGTCACTTAGTTTTCATGTAAAGAACATCATTATTAATTTTTTACTATAGATATGTTATGCTTATTTTTTATTTCCATTAAAATTTACAACTCATTAAAATATTTTTTATATATATTTTAATACTACTATTTTCCTAAGTGACTAACTAAACATAAGTTATATCACTCACGATCACTTGTCACTATTTTATATATGTTTAATTTTGAATAGCATGTTATATGTTCTTTTACATAGTATGATCTAGAACATAATTTGAAAGTCAATCTCAAGATCAACCTTCCACAATCCAATTTGTATGATGAGGTATCGTCGCAAGCAATACTACTATTCTCTCATCCTATCAATCTTCCTAGTGAGAATCAATTCATTGGCTTGGCTTGCTTTATTTTGCACTGATGAAGCCGGGAAAGATTGAGTTCAGGCAAGCAAGTACACAAAAAGGCTATTGCTCATTTGTTGCAACTAATGAAGGTTTAGTTGGAGCAATTACTATAGCATTTTGCAATTACAGGTGATTGACTCTTTCCTAATAGAAAATAGAGTATATACACACTTGCTAAGGATAGGAATATCCAATACTTCCTCTTTGGTGAACTACTTGTTGGAGTCAAACCCCAGAAACACTTTATGTTAGTCCCTTAGCCTCGTATATAACTTAAGAGGGGGTGAATTAAGTTTTCTAAATTTTCCTCTTATAAAAACTTTTCCAATTACTTTCTTATCACTTTATTTTCTTAGACAAATTTGCATGTAAAGAATGATGATGAAGAACAACTCAAACACAATTAAATAACAAATAAATAAAAGTGTAGGAAAAGAAGAATTGCAAACTTGATTTTATACTGGTTCGGCCAATTCTGCCTACATCCAGTCCTCAAGTCTCCCACTTGAGAATTCCACTACTCTTGTAAACCTAAATACCTATAATTTTTCAGAGAAAGGTGACGAACTCAATTGTGAAAAATTATCTTTACAAATCATTTGGCCAAAATCATTTGCAAAATCTCTAAAGAGTTCATCAAAGATCATGAAAGTGTAATATCCACTCTTCCAGAGAGTTATTTTGTATTACTTAATAGATCATTGGATCTGTAAAGGAGAAAAGGTTTTTCTCCTTGTTGAGATCAAAGGCAACGAAAAGATGAGAATAGGCGATTGAAAGATGACATGCAAAGGCAATTGCAAGAGTACATGCAGTCACTTAGCCAACAATTTCAACAAAAAACTCCACCAATTGAACCAGTTGTTGCACATGTGAGTACCTCTAAAGAGTTCATCAAAGATCATGAAAGTGTAATATCCACTCTTCCAGAGAGTTATTTTGTATTACTTAATAGATCATTGGATCTGTAAAGGAGAAAAGGTTTTTCTCCTTGTTGGTGTTTGAATCTCAACACAAGGAAAGGGAGTTCCGAGGTGTTGGAGGATTCATTTTCTTGTAAGGTTTATTAGGACCACATAAAAATGTTTGGTGGCCTAGGATGAAAAGAGATATAACTAAATTCATACGTGTTTGTTTAGTATGTCATAAAGTTATAATGGAGCATCAGAAACCCTCTAGTTTATTGGAGTCTTTGAGTGTGTCTGAGTGGAAGTGAGATAGTATTTCTATAGACTTCGTAGTTGGGTTGCCTAAAATTGTGACAAAGAAAGAACTCAAAATGAGACAAATAAGGTAGATAGAATTCCTTAAGGTAGATAGACTTCAAACTGAGTTACCACCTAGGTAAGGCCAATGTAGTGATTGATGCCTTGAGTAATAAATCCTTACAT